CCCCTCAACCCTGGGAAACCAAAAAATGCCACCAACGCCTACAAAGCCGCACAAACAGAATTCGAAAAGTCTTGCTAAATTTAGCAATAACAACTGGTACAGAGCGTACCCTTTCGTGCCAAAGAAATGGCAAATAACGAATACTATACTTAGTTCCTTTAGCCCCGATGAAAAGAATGCTATACTTAAGTTCATTTAGCCTCCTGGTCCTCCTCAAACTATTTCCTGCTCTAGGGTTTCGCCTGCTCAACGTATGCCGCGGTGCAAAGAATCCTATAGTAAGTTCCTTTAGCCTCCTCATCAACTATTCCTCCTTCAGGCTTTAGCCTCGTCAACGAGTGCGACTTCTCCCCGTGAGAAAAAATGTTGTGCTAAGTTCCTTCAGCCTCCTGAACTATTTCTCCTTTGAGCCGAAGCCTCCTCAAAGTGTTGCGACTTCGCTTGAGCACTACTACCTTAGTCGATCTATCGGTTTCAGGAGTACATAAGCTAAGTACGAAAGATTTGATTACTACTCTCAATGGATTTTCTCACACACAATGGGACTTTCCAGGATGCATATGACCATCTTTCCAACCCGGCCACTACTCCTACTTGTAGGCATAGGGGGAACCCCGTAGCAGCCAGAACCGTGTTCACGAAAGAACATACGGGGGCTGCTCCCGACTTGCAGGTGGGCGATACCGGCCAGGGGACAGCCAGTAGCATCAGGGGATAAAGCCCAGGGGACCAATCTCCTGTGCCTCCCCTCAGGTCCCCTCCCCTAGGAACATCAGCAGACTCTGCTATGCCGATGGGGGGATCCAGTGGTCTATCTCTTGGGTAGCGGGTGCCAAGTATGCCCAGGAAGGTACATGAGGCCAATGGGGATTGAACCCACGACCTCCTGAATGCCACTTGCGAACCTTACCAATTAGTCTCAACGAAAGTAAAATTAATACTTTTTTTTTTTTAGGAAACTGCTCCCGAGTCACACTTCAAGTTTGAAATAGGCAGGAAAAAACACTGCGTTGCAACTTCAAATCTGAGGAGTTCAAAACGGCAAAAAAGACGGGACATGGCAGCCCTAACAGGGCTGTAGTTCTTTAGAGGCAAAAACAGCAGAAAAAGTGGGTGCCACACAGCGACCTACCGGGACCTTTGTGGACCTACCTACCGGAACCTTTGTAGACCACCAGGACCTGTGGAACTGTGTTTTTTAAACTTTTTTTGCCCATTCTGAACTACAGGTGTGACACAGGGGTACTTGCCCCTTTTCTTTTTTTTTTTTTTTCTTTTTTTTTTNTTTTTTTTTTTTTTTCTTTTTTTTTTTTTTTTTTTTTCTTTTTTTTTTTTTGCAAAAGCAACTCAAATTCATTTCAGTCAACATTTGGATCGAGCCCGGGGGACCTCACAATTCAACCCGGAGTTATCCCGGCAGCTTCAGCCGGTTTAGCTGAACAAATCAATCTCTTCGTATACCAATGTCTGCCCTACATTCCTTTCCTCCTAATTTACCTTCTAGTGTTACTTACCGAACCCCACCCCTGAGAACTGTCCAACGATACTTTTTTTTTCAAAATAATAAATAAATTAAAATAATCATTTTAATAGAAGAGTTAGTCAACCTCCGAATCTGGCTCCGATTACACACCTTCAATCACGGAAGAATGACGACCTTCTGCCATGATCGCTGCCGAGCTTAATAACTGCCTCTTCCGTCGATCAAAGCTCAGCCTTCTCTTCTCTTCTCTTCTTCGCAGCACGTGGGCTGTCATCACGAATGATTGAATATCGATAGAAGAGAATACATACCTAAAATAGAGTCGCCGAAAAACCCTCTTTCAGGTAAAACAGACACGACACAGGCCGCAATGATTGATCAAATCTACGGCTACGATCCGCTTTGCTATCTTCGCAGTTTCTTGCGAAACTACACCGAAAAACCCCTCAATCCCAACACTTGTCTTCAGTTCCTTTCTCTTCCTCCTCCCATCCTTTTCTTCCTCTCTCTCTCTCTCTCTCTCTCTCTCTCTCTCTCTCTCTCTCTCTCTCTCTCTCTCTCTCTCTCTCTCTCTCTCCTCGGCCTCCTTCTGTGAGGTACTTCGCACTTGCGGGGCGTAGCTTGTCATGAATTACATTGCTTTCCGTTACTTCCTGTTCCCGTTCCTCTTCGTTCGGTCCTGTGCCCATTTTTGCCGTTACCTCCTGTTCCGAAATTTCGTTAGCTCCGCTTTCCCGTTCCTCTCCGTCTGATCCTGATTCCGTTCCTCTTGCCCTTTCTCTCTCTGTTAGCTCCTGCTCCCGTAACTTCCTTTCCGTTAGCTCATGTTCCCATTCTCTCTCCGTTGGCTCCTGTTCCCATAATTTCCTGCCTAGTAGCTGCTGCTCCTGTTATGTCCTCTCCGTTAGCTCCTGTTCCAACAGTTTCGTCTTCGTTAGCTCCTGTTCCCATAATTCCCTCTTCGCTCATTCCTGTTGCCATTCTCTCCGTTAGCTCTCCCTCCCAGAGAGGAGGTTCATTGTGAGGATGCAATGGATCCGATCGGTCGCTTGCTGGGGTGACAGTGTGGTCGTTCACGCCACTTGTCCCTCCGATCGGAAGTATCCGACCGGTCGCCTACCACGGTCGTTCGCACCACTTGGTCCTGACAAATGTCCTCAAAGGACCGAAGGCAGAGATCTCAAGGATCCCTAACTCCCCGCCCCCATCCTCGGGGCCCCCTCTCCTTTCTCTTCCCATACCCTTCATACCCACACCCACCTGCCGCACCTCCCCCCCTTTCTGAGCTTGCTCTCCGTTAGCTCTCCCCTTCCTCGATTTGATAGAAGATGACAAGGATACATACGACATTCATACTGTGTGATCCATCCCCTGCAATGGTCGTTCACACTCTGTGATCGGTCGCCTGCGATGATCGCTCACATTATGTGACCGGCCGCCGGCGATGGTCGTTCCTGAGACGGAGCCCCCAGTCTGAGATCCCGGAGACCTCAAGGAAGGAGTAGCCTGAGGACAAGATCATGGACACGTGATGACCTCAGGAGGCTTTCCCGGCTCCACTTTCCTCGTCGGGATCGTCCTGAATCCTGATTCCACCCCTTCCTTGCTACCGTCTTCACTTGGAAACGGCTCCAGAACAAGGCCCAGTCCCAATCTTGAAAACCCCGTTGTCTGGGTAAGGCCCCTCAGAGAAATCGAACGTCAGCCACCTCGACTGCAACACCGACAGTCCCAACAAGGTGTAATCTGTCCTCCACTGCTCCGCGAACCCCAGCGATACGAGGCACGTCGAGGGGGTCTTCTCCATGGCAGTGTACTCCTCAGGCTTGACCTCCAACTGGGTTCCTCCTTCGAAGAGGAAGGTGATGACGGGGAAGCTGGACAAACCACACGATGGTTGAGAGTACACAATCAAGTCTTCGAATTGAGGCAGGGGGTGCAGGAGTGTGGCTTTGTAGATCGCATCTGTGATCAAAGCAAGGCTTGCATTAGGCATGAAAGTAAGAAATGAAGAGCCAAAGAAAACAGCACCATTTCCTGGAGGAGGAAGAGGCGCAGCCACGGAGGAGGAGGAGGAGGAAGAGGAGGAGGAGGGGGGGAGTATGCTCCAACCAGTGATAAAGGACCTATAAGTAGCCACGCGGCTTAGCATCGACGCCTCCGTTCTGTCTAAGTGCGCGTTGGCGGACAAGTTTGGGTACACGATCCACGGAGGAGTGCCGAACACCACACTTCCACTATCATCGCCCACAGCAGCTGTCGGATCCTGACCCTCTGGGGCTGAGGCCCGGCGGCTTCGGTACCCAGTGGCGTTGAAGCAGACGCTCAAGATATCTGGGAGTTTCAGTTGCTGGGTCACTGTGGCGAAGAAGGTCCCACTCCCTGGGCCCAGGGCTAGCACCCCATCCCCACTGAAGTTCACATAACTCCCCTCCATCTCCGTCACACAGGCCATGGAGTCGTACTTAATGCCTGACAGGGGTTCACCCTTCAGCATCACCAGTTCTGATACCAGCTCGCCTGCAATGCCATCGACGTGATCCGTGACCCGGAGGCTGCAGGATGTACCTCCATCATCGCAACCCCCATTCCAAGTCGCCTTGAGAGCTGTGCACCCTGGACTTTGACACGTGGCGAGACTGTATGAAGTGCTACTAGCTGGCTTGAAGGGAGGATTGAAAGCTTCCTGAGGCTGAGGCAGCAGCGATCCAATTGCCGGATCGCAGAATGTCCACGTTATGTAATCATCCAGTAGGATGTGCAAGCTTCTGGTCTGAGCTGGCGTACCCATCATCACATCGACGGTGAAGGCAATCTTCAGGTCATCCCGCAGAGAGATATGGGTCGATACGCGTGATGCAGATGCCCCATAGCCATCAGAAGAAGGGTAGGAGGAGGAGGAGGAGGAGGAGGACAAAGGGGGGGCGAACGGATTGCTGCCGCTGCTTGAGGACGACAGTGAGATGGTGCTGCTGATGCTGCTGCCGCCTCCTAGCACTGGAGTGCTTGTCAAGGAGGTGGGAGGAGACGACAAGGAAGAGCTCATTGGCGATGGCGAGGGAGAAGCAGAAGAAAAAGAAACAGAAGTAGAAGAAGAAGAAGAAGAAGAAGAAGAAGAAGAAGAAGAAGAAGCAGAGGTAGAAGAGAACCCGCTGCGACCGCTTTGCAGTCGGCGTTCACCTGGCGATGTGGAGGAAGATTGCGAAGCGAGCCCTGAAAGCGGAGCCGAGCCCGACAAGGTAGATGATCCGAGGAATACAAGCTTCCTCTTTTTTATCATCAACTCTTCTTCCTGAGGATGAATGGTCCTGATTTTCAGTGGAAGATGCAGAGATGATGGGGATGGGGAATCGGCCAGACAATGACAGATGATCCCCCCTGCCATGAAAACACCCATAGCCAGGGAAAGAAGTACGATGCGTGCCGGATCGCGACAACGAGAAGCCCTTCCAAAGCATCCTGACGAGGATCCCGTGTCGGGCGCTATAACCGCCATAGTCCACGCTCTCGAGCGTGTTTTCTTTCTCGTAATCACATCCATTTCTCCCCCTCCCCTCCCTGCTCCCTCTCTCTCTCTCTCTCTCTCTCTCTCTCTCTCTCTCTCTCTCTCTCTC